ACGTCGTCATCGCCACCATCGCTACTTTCATAATCGTGTCTACCGTTGTCGGCGTCGCCATTATACCGCGCCCGCCCAAGTCACCGACTCGCACTGAAGTGCCCGCTGAAAAGCGCCAAGCGGTCAGCGCCACCATGGCCTCGTCGTCGTTCCAAATTAGCTGGCCGATGTGCGCGCGAGCATGCGCGGGTCAACGCGGCCGCAGGGATACACCAACCAACGCCAAACAGTCATCGCAATCGCCGCCGCATGGGTTTGGCAAGCCCCGTTACGGGTGGGTGGGTGGGATGGTTGCGCGAGCGGTGGGGTTGACATAGTCAAGTTCGGCAGGCCGAAATGCACCACAACGGTTGCACCACGTAGATTTTTCTTTCGAAGACAAAAAATAGACTCTACCCCCCCCGGCGTTATAGGTTCCCCTTTCGGGCATGTAAATCATTTATGATTCTGGCTGACCAGTTGTGAAAGAACGTGTTCTACCGCTGCTGGCGGAAAGCCGGGGGGGTCACTACCGGTTCGAGCCCCCCCCCCCCTCCGGAAAACCGGGGGGTCATTACCGGTTCGAACCCCCCTCCCCCCCCCGCTCATCATGAAAAGGGGTGGGGGTCAATACCGGTTCAAACCCCCCCCCCTCGAAAACCGGGGGGGGTCACTACCGGTTCGAACCTCCCCCCCCCCCCGAAAACCGAGGGGGGGTGCGGACAATGGTGGGGACGGTGGTGGTGGGGACAGTGGTGAGGGGACAGCGGGACAGTGGTGGGGACAGTGGGACAGTGGTGGGGACGGTAGTGGTGGGGACAGTTGTGAGGACAATGGTGGGAACAGTGGGGACAGTGGACAGTGGTGGGGACGGTGGTGGTGGGGACACTGGTGTGGGGACACTGGGAATGAGGTGGAAACAGTGGGACAGTGGAGGGTACAGTGGTGGTGGGGACAGTGGTGAAGGCAGTGGCGAGGACGGCCGTGGGACAGAGGTACAGTGGGGACAGTGGTGGGGACAGTGGGGACAGTGGTGGAAACAGTGGGACAGCTCAGTGGGACACCGGAGGAGTCAGTGGGACAGTGGGGATAGTCGGGCAGTGGTTGGGGCCGTGGAGAAAGTGGGGAGAGTGGAACCGTGGTGGGAACAGTGGTGGGGACAGTGGGGACAGTGCGACAGTGGTGGGGGCACTGGTGGGGACAGTAGGAACGGTGGTGGAACCAGTGGGGACAGCGGTGGTGAGGACAGTGGGGACGGGGGGGGGGTGCCAGGGGAGGGGGGGGGGGGGGGATCCAGCAGGGGGGGGGGATTTTCGGAGGGGGGGGGAACCCCAGGCTCCGGAGGAAGAGGGGGGCAATTTTCCACAGTAAAACGGCGGTGGATCACGCTTTCTCCCACATGTCCATCCTAAATATGAATTGACACTATCCCCGGGGGGCCAGTATCGCTCCCCCCGAGGTTCTATTTGTAAAAAACAAGACGCGGGGACATGTTGTGTTCTAACATAAGACTGCTCCACACATCCCATGCAACAACTGGACGAAGTGCGCACGCGCGCGTCGTCGCGCGCGCATACCGAAATCCTTCAAAAACCTCCGGTGTCGGAAGGATTGTGCAATCAAGTTTCTAAGAAACATACAAAACACACAACGTTTCGCAACACTGATTTGCTAAAAAAACTTGCGCGCGACCTCCTGCGAAACCTTAAGAAAACCATAGGTTTTTCAAGATTTTCAAAAAATGCTTCCAAACGGGCTTCGCGCGCGCATGTCGAGATCAGTCGAACGCCCTTGCGCGTGTGCCGTCGCGAGAATCCTCTGCAAAAAAATTGGACGAAGTGCAGACGCGCGCGACGTCGCGCGCGTATGCCGAAATCCTTGAAAACCCATCGGCGTCGGAAAGAATTCAACATCGTGTATCCAAAAAACCTACAAAAACACAAGGTTTCGCAACACGGATTTTCAACAAAAGCGTGAGCGCGCGCTCTTGCGTCGTCGTCGTCGTCGCCGTCCTCCCTCCTCCCGCGTCGTCGTCGTCGTCGTCGCCTACGTCGTCCTCTGTCTTTCCTCGAGTTCGTCGTCGTCGTCCTCTTTGGCGTCGTGGTCGTTTCCGTCGTTGTCGCCGTGGTCGTCCTTCCTCCTCCTCCCTCGTCGTCGTCGTCGTCGTCCGTCGTCGGCGTCTCGTCGTCGTCCCTCCCATTTCGTGGCCGTCGTCGTCGTCGTCGTTGTCGTCGTCGTCTTCCCTCCTCCCTCGTCGTTGTCGTCGTCGGCGTCGCCGTCCTTCCTTCTTCGTCGCTCGCGTCGTCGCCGTCCTCCCTCCTCCCTCGTCGTTGTCGTCGTTGTCGCCGTCGTCGTCCTCCCTCCTTCCTCGTCGTCGTCTTCATTGGCGACGTCGTCGTCGTCGTCGTCGTCGTCGTCGTCGTCGTCGTCGTCGTCGTCGTCGTCGCCGCCGTCGTCGTCGTCGTCGTCTTCGTCGTCGTCGACGTCGGCGTCGTCGTCGTCGCCGCCGTCGTCGTCGTCGTCGGCGTCGTTGACGTCGTCGTCGTCGGTGTCGTCGTTGTCGTCGTCGGCGTCGTCATCGTCGTCGTCGTTGTCATCGTCGTCGTCGGCGTCGGCGTCGGCGTCGGCGTCGTCGTCGTTGTCGTCGTCGTCGTCGTTGTCGTCGTCGTCGTCGTTTCGTCGAAGTCGTTGGAGACGTCGTCGTCGTCGTAGTCGTTGTCGGCGGCGTCGTCGTCGTCGTTGTCGCTGTCGTCGTCGGCGTCGCTGTCATTGCCAAGTGCCATTTGGTACCCACCGTCACGTTCTTAAGAGATGTTGCAAACCAAGTTGCGGGTGGGTGGGTGGGATGTTTGCGCGAGCAGTGGAGGTGGTCAAGCGCGGTGCAGGGTAGTCAATTGCACCTCATAGATTCCACAACGCTGCACACATACATACGTACAAACATTCATTCATTCATACATACATACATACACACACACATACACACATACATACATACATACATACGCACACATATATAGGTGTGGGTAAACATGTGCATCTATACGTATCTATACATACACACACATATATATATGTATATATACACATATATATATGTATATATATATATATACACATGTATACACACATATATACATACACATATATACATGGCGGTGCCACGCTCATTTTCCCATGGCGGTGCCGGGGCTCCTGGAGCTGTCCTTCCCATTCCAAGACGACTAAAATGCCTTCCGAGACGACCAAGCTGGTTCCAGATGGCCTCAGAGATGCATCCAACACCGCCATCGAAACACCCAAACCGCCCCCAGACGCCCCCAAGAGGCCTCCCAAGAGGCTCCCAACAGGCAGACATGGTCCCATTCGCTACCGATGATGTATATTTTTATAAGGTTTGCCTTTTGGGCTTGTCAAGAGCCCAAGACAGCCCGAGAGAGAGGCCCCAAAGATCGTCCCAACACGGCCCAACAGGCTCCCAAGAGGGCTCCAAGACGGCCCAAAAGGACCCCATGACGGCCGAAGAGGACCCCAGGACGCCCCAAGAAAGAATCCAAAATGAGTCCCCGAACGGACATTTCAACCTCTCCGCCCATCCCAGGAGTCCCCAATAAGCCCCCAACAATTTCTCCAAGAGGCTTCACGAGGTCCGCAAAAGACCCCACAGGGGCGAGGCTCCCAAGAAGCTCCCAGGAAGCCCCACAAAGCCCCCATGAGCCCCCCGAAGAACCCACCCCCCCAGACGCCCCGAGGCATTCTTGACGATCCCCGACACCGTCGCCGCCGCCGCCGGCAGCCGTTGTGGCCGAGGTGCCGCTGCCGCGGCATCTTTGTCTTTCGGGTTAATCCTTCTTGGGTGTTATTTCAGCTCTTTTACACGCCTCGTGCGAACGCATGAGGCGGACTTCCCAAAGCACCCTTCCGCCCCTCTGTGGTCACCATTTGGAGCTTCTTTGGTACACTGTGGAGGTTTCGAGGGACCCCCGGCAGAACTCTATGACACGGGCTTTCAATTTATGGAACCCTTCTATGTCCATGTCGATGTATATGGGTATGGGTATGGGTAAGTGTGTATGCATGCATGAATGTATGTAGGTAGGTCGGTAGGTAGTTTGGTAGGCAGCCAGGTAGGTAGGTAGGTCGGTTTGTAAATATGCATGTGTGTATGTATGTGTTTATGTGCATACGTATGTGCTTGTATACATTTGTTTACATCATACATATATATGTGTGTATATGTATATATGTAGATGCACATAAGTATATATACACATATGAGTGTTGTGCGAATGTGTGTTCGTGCGTATGTTGGAATATGTATATATATATATATACATCTATATATATATAGACATACACACATACCTGGGCACGAGGAGGGGGACGCCCCTGAGCGGGATCTCGACAGCGGAAGGGGGGACTGGGCCGCCAGGGACGACCCCAGACGGCCCAAGACGGCCAAATCACTTATGAATCGGGCCCCAAGAGGATTCCAAGGTGGCCCAGCGTCGCCGAAATCTTGTTTTAACACGCCCAAGTTGGCCCCCAGACGCCCATCAGGCGCCCATCCGGCGAAGCCTTGGCGGAATCCGCCAGCTCACGCGGCGCCCACCAGGCGCCCACCAGGCGACCACCCGGAGATAATTTCGGTGGACCCACGGAATTGATTACTCCAGATTTCGTAATAAAGGGAGGGGGGTCTCATTTCGGGGGGGGTCTCTTCCAGGCTATCTTGGAGGGCCTGGGGGGTCTGGGGACGATGGTTTGGAGGGTTCTCCCACGGGGGAGGTCTGAAACGGCTTGTCTTGGAGGGTTCAGGCCCCCTCCCTTTTATTACGAAATCTGGAGTAGTTGCCGAGACAAGTGAGGTGCTCCACAGTGCATGCAATTTTGGGGTAACTTAGTCGCACCTCGTTTGCCTGAATTTGATGAGACCATAGGCCTTCTGGGAAGCCTGCTCCTGTTTTGGCAGGTCCGAATCAGAGATTGGGTGCGGCGGCGTCGAAGAGAGTTCTCCCCAGACATTCTGGGAGCGGTTCTACGCCATCTTCGCTCTCGCGTTTGGCTTCCTCGTGGCGTCCGCATTCGTGTCCAGCATCACGTCGAACCTGACGCGGCTGTCCATGCTGTCGGGCAGGAGGGCAGGCGAGTTCAAGGACCTGAACACCTATCTCAAAGGCTGAAGTGCGCGATTCCGCCCCCCCCCCGACGAGCCTCCGACGAGCCTTCGAGCGGCTCCCGGCGAGGCCGAGCCTTCGAGCCGAGCCTGGCCGGCGCTCACGGCGGCGCAGAGGCAGAGAGACCCGCCCGGCGAGGCCATCCCGCGAGGGGCGTCGGCGACGCACCAGGGGCAAGCACGGTGTGCAGGTCCTCCCCCCTGGGCAAGACAGGGCTGGACCTACACGGTGTTTTTGGTGATTTCGTGGGCCGTTTTCGTTTCGACTTCGTTTTGCGGTAAAGGCGGATTCGAGACAAAAGCGAGGGAAATCGAGAACAACACGACACCGAAAAACACCGTTTAGGTTCAGCCTTGTGGCACGAAGGGGGGCGGCCCTGCCTTGCTGGCAAACAGCTGCGTACTGTGACAGCTCGTGGGAGGCAGCGCCGTGGTGTTTGCGCTTGCCCCCCCCAGAGAGGTAGCCGGGCGCACCCAGCGGGGTAAGTCCTGGGGGGGGCTCGCTGCCCGAGCCTCATCTGGGTCCTCTGGGGGTCCGCCGCAACAATTAAGCAGTGGCGACGCGTCCTGGCGTGCCAATAGGCCTACCAAAGAATGTTCTAAGAACCTTTTGTGGATTCAACGAAATGTTCTTAAAACATTTCTGGCTGGGACTGTCTGGTTTTAGCACATTGGGTTTATGTTCTAAGAACATTGGTGTTGTATTCAGAACATTTGTTGGTTCTAAGGCAATTCCGTGGTAGGCCTAGAGGAATGACGGGACGGCCAGTCTCTGCTCAAAACAAACAGTACACACAGCCGTGCTCCACCGGAATGCTCCTGGGCCCACCGGTATGCTCCTGGGCCTCAGGCGAGGGTGGCAGTGTGTCAATCACCACTGAGAGCCAGCGACTTTCTACACCGCTCCCCCCCCGGAAGGTGCAGGCAGAGCTCGCGTCGGAGGGCGTCTGCGTACGTAGTTTCGTGGCGTAGGGGCCCCGCTCCCCGCTCTTCGGGGAGCGAAAGAAGGTCGCACACGTACTCCAGATTTCGTAATAAAAGGGAGGGGGTCACAACCCTCCCAGACGAGAAGGTTTAGACCCCCCAGACTATCCATCAAAGGGCGGCCCTTTGCCCAGACCCCCCCGAACCCTCCAAGACAGCCCAAATTAGACCCCCCCCCGAATGTGACCCCCCCCACTTTGTTATGGAATCCGGAGTACATGAATCCACGCCGGTTTGGAAATTACGCATGGCGCGAGCGTTCGCATCACGCGGCCAGTCTCGCGAATGGGGGCTCCAGGTTCGTGTACGTGGTTTGGTGCGCACGTCCTGTGTGGGGCCCCCACTCTCCTGCAGGAGGATCGGATCGGATCGGGGGCCCGCATGGTGTCGCCGATCGACGCGGGCCCTCCCGTCCCCGCTCCTCCCCCCAGGACCAGATCGCGGCTGCTGTTTGGGGCTGCTCCTGGAGACCGGTCAGGACCCCCCTTTCCAATCTTCCTGCGCGACTAGCAGAAGCAGATCGACCAATCACCGGGCCACGCCCAGACACCCCCACCCTCCCCACCTTCGGCCAAATGTCGGAACCCAGACTGAAGGAGAAACGCCTGGGCTTCCCTGGGCCCTGCAACTCCACGTCTTGGAGCTGAAGGCCAAACACTTGCTCATATTGAGGTCCCCAGTGGGGCTTATTTCGGCGGCGAGCCCAGGGAGAAAGTGAGAAAGGATGGGCCTTCACAGAAGTCTCGGAAGACACAAACAACCTGTCAGAAGACGCGAGGGTTTCGGAGAAGTGCCGTTGCCTTCTGAGAAGGCCTTCTTCTTCGCATGCCCCCCCCCCCTCTCTCGCCGCCGAGCTTATTGGGTGCTTCTTGGGCCGTCTTCGGGCTATCTTGGCCCATCAGAAGCCTCGTCTTCGGGGCATGTCTGGGCCGTCTTCGGGATTACGCCGTGCTGGGGCTTTGGGGACCGCCTGTGGAGCCTCTTGGCCCGTCCTGGGCTTTTGAAGGCCTCTCGGGCCGTCTTGGGGCTATCTTGGAGGCCCGTTGGGCCGTCTCCGGCTGTCGGGAGCTGAAGAGGCGAGAATCGAGCAGTGGCGAAGCGTCCTGGCATGCGTATAGGCCCACCAAAGCCAATAACCCTTTGTGGTCTGCACGGAATGTTCTCATAACATTTCTGGTTGAGACTGTTTTATTCAACACATCGGGCTTCTGTTTTAAGAACACGGTTTCTGTTCTTGTAGCATGTCTGGCTTCTAAGACATATCGTGGTAGGCCTATGGAATGCCGGGACGGTTGGCCCCTGCTCAAGTGGGGCCGTGCGTTGCGGGGAGCTGAACGGGCGAAAAAACATGTATGTTTTGAATGACTAAAGGTGCATCCACGATTTTGGCCTGTTCGGGCCCTCCCGGGGTGCCTCTTGGATGCCCCTTGGGCCACCCTGAAGCGACCGTGGGCGCATCGTTCATCTTGGGACAACTTTGGCCCATCTTGGACGTCTGTTGAGCCATCTTGGAGGCATCTTGTGCCACCTTAGCAGTCTTGGGGGCCCTCTCGGAGCCATCTTGATCGGGAATCCAGTGTAGGACAGTTTTCCGCTTGGCCGACTGGATGTAACAAGACCGCACTAGCAACATGTTGGAAAGACTACCGTATTCACTAGTCCGAAACGCCTAGCAGCCCTCTGTGAGTCGACGGGGGCGGCGGGCGGCGGATCTAGTTGCCTATAGGTTAGAGGCCTCGCGAATGCCTCTCAGGGTATCTTGAGATGCCTCTCGAGGGCCTCTTGGAGGGCTCTTTGGCGGCATCCTGAGGCCCATGTCGGGCCTCTCGTGGGCCTCTCGGAGGCCTCTTGGGGGGTCTCTGGTGGGGCTCTCAGCGCCTCGTGTGGGCGTCTCGGCGCCCTCTGGGGGGCCCTCAAGGCAGATTCGGCCGCCCCCCCTCCCTTCTGCCCCCCTAACAGAGGAGGAGGAGGAGGAGGAGGAGGAGGAGGAGGAGGAGGAGGAGGAGGAGGAGGAGGAGGAGGAGGAGGAGGAGGAGGAGGAGGAGGGGGAGGGGGAGGGGGAGGGGAGGGGGGGGTGGTGGAGGCGGAGGAGCTGTGGATGGGCTCCAACTTACAGGGGGAGGTCTCGAGGTCTCCTGGTGGCACGACCCTCCATGGCCGGTGACACTAAACCACGCAGGGTTGTCCAAAGAATTCGACAGTTCGGGTGAGGCAGGCGGGTCACACCAGAAGTCGCACGGCAAAAACCAAGAAGCGCCCACAACTTGGGGTTCTTGCCCTTTCAAGAGGATTCGAATGTATTGAAGGCTGTTTCATTATGCCGTGCGGCACGGTGGCGAATTGGAGGGGCGGGACCGTCTTGGCCCCCAGCAGCAGGATCAAGAGACAGGAGCACCTCGTGAGCGCCACTTGTCGACACAGCATCGTCTTTGTCTTTTGTTTTCGGGGGCGGGCCGAACCCCAATCCACGTTGGGTAACCGACGAATGCCAATTACGTTGGGCAGAGAAATGTACGTTGCGTAACCGCCTGACTACTTCGCGCTTCAACTGAATACTTCTTCCGAGCGGCCTGCACCCGCGTCCCTCTGGGACCTCCCGGGACTCCTCCTCCAGGGCACAGGGGCCGCATGGCATATAAGAGTGCCAACGTGACGGCCTAAGGCTGCCCGCGAAAGCCAGTCAGCCTCCTCCAGATAGCCGTGCCGCAGCCGCACAGTGCCTCGCTCCTCTCTGAGGGAGGACGCGAGCTGCGCCAGCTGCCCGCGAGCATTGCGTGAAGCAGGCTCCGCTCAGGGATTCCAGCCATTCCCCCTCTACGCAGGGCGCTCCAGATCACCTCCCTCGGCCTCCTCTCTCCCTTGGCACACGCTGTCGACCCCGGCAGACAGGGGACAAGGCGGACCTGCAGGAGCGCCTCATCTCGCGGAGCCTGAGGAACCGGGTCCTGGCGAACGCTCAGCACGTGATCGCGGAGCAGGAGGCCCCGCATCGGGGAGCACCATATCGTGCTTTCGTTGGACCGTCGGCCGTCGACTGTCGGTCATTCCCCACGATCGTGCCGGCATCACCCGCATGGGAATTTGGTGATCCCCCAGGCAGCGGTTGGAAGCAAGTATTCCCTCCGGCGGCAGTTTGGGATTTCTGCCGGCTGGCAGCCAAAATCAGACGCATGTTTGCATATGTTTGCCCGCCCCCATCGTCCATTGGAAGAGGTGCAGTGGCAAAACGGGTGGCCCGACCGTGCATAGTACTGCCAGTGGCATGAAGCATTGGCACTGCGTGGCATGGGGCGTGAGGAGTGGCAGGAGTGACGACGGCAATGACAGCAACGAGGGCGGGGCGATGAGAGAAAAAGAACGAGCGGATCTGTGCTGCAACCTTGTTGATTGCTGGGCTTGGTAAGCTTCTGCAGTCACGACGACGGCGACGACGACGATAATAATGATGAAGAGGGGAGAGAGGGCGGAAGGGAAGACGAACGACGGAGGGAGGAGGGAGAAGGAAGGAGGAACAGGCGGAGAGACGAATGACCAACGGTCATCCTCCTCCTCCTCCTCCTCCTCCTCCTCCTCCTCCTCCTCCTCCTCCTCCTCCTCCCCCTCCTCTGCTGCGAGGCGCACTTGCCTGAGGAGAACGTGAAGCTCCTCCACGACATCTCGGAACCTCTGCGCCAGGAGTTGCACTTCGAGATCTACTCGGGCCTGCTGTCGGTGCCCCTCGGGTGACAGAACGTGTACACGTGCCCGTGCGGGGGCACCGTTACCCATCGGTCGTTGAAAGCAGGTAGTCTTGGATTCCCAGATTCCAATCTACTTTAGGCGCCTTCCTACTTCAATGATCGAGTGGCTTCAGGGGAGTGGATGAGACCAAATCTATTTCTAACGCCTTCTTACTTCATGGTTCTACCTACTTTTTTCCGACCGATGGGTACATGTGCCCTGCAGGGGCACCGTTACGCAGGAGGAGATAGGCTTAGTGGGGGGATGCATCCAGCTCCGATCGCCCATTCCTCGCTGATACGGGTCCGGTCCCACACCGCCTAGGACCATGCGGATTATCTAGCGGGGGTCTATCGCCGACGTATCGGCGATGTATTGCCGATTCCAGATCGATTTTCCCCCCCTGAGCCCGCCCCCTCCGAACGTTCCCCCCGTTCCCCCTCACATGCCTCTCCGGATCTTCTCATTCCTATTCGGTTGTGCGCTCGCCAGCTGCTCTCCCGCCTGCCTCACACTATTGCCAGCGCGACGCGGAGCGGGCGCTCGCCGAGAAGAAGCGCGCGTGTGCCTGTGCCTGTTCGTGCTTGTGTTTCTGCACGATCTTGTTATTCACGTTTGGTCGTCCAATTTTGTTTCCGCGTGCTCGCCATCGCCCGCTTCTTATCAGGGAGAACAGGGCTTTGTTCGAGCGCACTCGCCAGAAGCTTGTCTCAGTTCGCGGTGGCCCATTCTGCCCGATCTCAGAAGTTGGTGCAACGCTGGGAAGGAAGGAGCAACGCTGGTGCATGTGCGGTCGTGCGCGAATTTTGACACCAGGGTGAAGGATTCCATGGATACGATACCGATTCCTGTGGTAGGTGATGCATGAGACAGCGCGAGAGAAGCAGCCCTGGAGCGTCCGACGGTGGCCTTGGAGCCAAACAGCGAACGCGAGCAGTAGATCCATGATAAGCATATCCGTGCAGTTCCAGGCGCAAGTAGGAACAAGCGCCAGCATCAGCTGAATGCGCCCGCGAAGCGCTGGGACAGTTAGTCACCACCCACTAAACCACCCCAACCCAACCCGAAGGCTTCAATTTGCCCCCCATTTCCAGTGGGGGGGGGGGTCGGGGAGCATTGAAAAAACATATGCAACCCGTACCCCCCCAACCCAGAATGCGGGTCAAATGCAGGTCTTCCGGTTGGGTTGGGGTGGTCTGGTAGGTAGTCAGTGAGAGCAGACACTCGGAAGCCGGGCAAGGGCTGCTAAATCCGTTGCTGCTAAAATCGACCTCCAGGAAGTTGTCTTCGTCCTTCCCGGAAGAAGCCCTTTGACTGTTTCGCGTGCCGCGCCTCATTTCGGGAAGTTTTTTTTTCCTTCCGGGAGGGCCGTTTTAGCAGCCACGGTCTCAGCAGCCTTCGCCCAGCTTCCGAGACACAGGACACGCGCACAGCTCCCAACACATACAACGCAGAAGTAGAAAAGTGCACGCAGGTGCGCCCTGCAGCCTCTCTGGCGCCATCACGGGCCCCGTCGTCGCCGGTCCCCCTCCCCGCCCCCAGGGTGCCCTCCCCCACCCCGGGGGGGAGGCAATTTCTCGACACGGGTTATAATGTTCCTACCTACTTTAGCCCTGATCACAATACAGAATTTCGAGCACCAAGAAAGCACCGACGCTTGATGGTTTTCACTCGTCGGGCCCTGGGAGGTGATACTCGTTCGACACTGTTTCGATACTTTTTCCTGGGTGCTCGAAATTATTTCTGGAATGTGGTCCTTAAGTACGATGGGAGCAACATAAGACATGGGGATTCCCATTTGTTCTCATCCTTTCCTGGCACTTCCCCCGGCTTGTGTGTGAGTGAGAGGTCTCTGCCCGGGGCGATTGAACGCTCCTCGGCGGTTTCCCACTGTCGGGGGCGACAAAGAGGGGGGCGATGATGGATATCATCGCGGGGGCCATGATATTTCCCAGATTTCATGGCGCCTCTTCTTATTTCCGTTACGTCCCTGGCCCCCCCGCTGGGCCGCGCACATGCCGCCGGTCATGATTTGCACCCCCCCCTCTTGGACACCCCCCTCTTGGCCGCTCCCGACATTGGGCTGCCCAAGTGTTCTGCCTGCTGCATCGTGGTGGCCATGGGTCTTCTGGAGGCGAGGAGGCTGGGGCGCCCAGCCCAGGGCCTCGCGAGCGACGTCCACACAGTCGGGGCGCGCACGGGCAAGTGGAGCATCCCCTGGCGGCTCTCCTGTGGGGTGCTCAAGCACTGTGCCTGCGACATGGCGGTGGTCATGGGATCTGAAAGGAGAGGAGTCGGCGACTCCACACGAGCGCCGCGCTCGAGGCATCCTCATACGTAAGAGGCCCTCTGGCAGCTCCACCGTGCGGCGCCCCAGTGCGATGCCTGCTTCATCGCGGTGACCAGATGGGCTTTGACAGGAGCGGAGTCGGGGGCGTTGCACGAGCGCCTCGCTCGAGGCATGCGCACAATCTGGGCGCGAACACGCAGGTGTAGCACCCCTTGGCGGCTTCCCATGCCCCAAGGCGGTGATCATGGGGCTCTGAACGGGGAGGAGTCGGCGACTCCGCACGAGCGCCTCGCTCGAGACATCCCCATACTCCGGGCGCGAATAGTTTCGGGAGATGCCCCTCTGGGGGTTCCTCCCTGGAGCGCCCTAGTGCGATGCCTGGCGCATCGCGGCGGTCATGGGCGAGTCTGAGTATGAGTGTGTCTGTATATGAATGGGTCGAAGTACGTTCGAAATGCTGGGTTCAGATATATTTTGATCAGCCGAGTGCGAACCTATCTGATTGTGAGCGGTCTGAGTGCGTATGTCTGAGCGCGAGTGAGTCTTACCGCTGGTGGGTGTGAGTGCGAGGGAGCATGAGTATGTGTGAGTATGTACTAGTGAGTCTGAGTGTGAGTGGGTCTGAGTGTGATTGATCGGAAGGATGAGTGACTGAGTCGGGCACGAGTTGGAGAGCTTCCCAGGGGATGCCCCTCTGATTGAAAAGCCAGCGGATGCCCCTCTGATTGAACAGGCGGGGGTGCTCGCCCCCCCCCCCCATCTTCCGACTGAAAAGGTGGGGGGGTGTTCGCACGCCCCCCGCCCTTCAGGGGGTGGGGGATTTCGGACGCCCCCCCTCCTCCCGTTGAGAGGAGGGGGTGGGGGGGGTTCGGACCCGCTCCTCGCGCCAGAGAGGGGGGGAGGATTTCGGGCCCCCCCCCCTCCTCCCTTTACGCCGGAGAGGGTTCGGGGGCGAACCGATGTGCGTCAGGCCGGAGGATCGTGAGCGACAAAGATTTCCATCGTGAAAGGTTTAGTGCAGAATCGGAGTTGTTGCAATGGATCAGGTCGAAGGCGTGAGAAGGCGATGTTGAGATCCGCAGATGTTCACCGCACAGTGTTTTTGTTGCCGGGCGTCGTCAGCGGCACAGATTTCCATCGTGAGGGGTTGATATTGCGGGCGTGAAGCGAATCGCATGATTGGCACAGTATCGTGAAGGTTGAAGGCTTTAAAAGTCGATGCTGAGATCAGCAGATACGCGCGCATAGTTTCGACAGAGGGTCGTGATCCGCACAGATATCCACCGTGAAAGGTTTAGACCGGGGGTGTGCAGAACGACGCCTGCGACGACGACGACAACGACGACGACCACAGAGTTGACGTTTTTTTCAGACGCCGCCTGACCTGCGATAATCGTTTCAAACTTGTCCATTTGACTAGCTGCGGCCTTGTTGGATTCGTTCGATCCTGGTTGCGCGCGCCGCTTCGTTATAATTGAACCGCAGCTTCTGCCAATCGCCGCCGTTGTTGTGGAGATGCTATATTGGTTCCAACATAGGCTTACTGGGTCGTCCTCTGGTGAGTGGGCCGTCCTGGGCCGTAGTGGGGCCACCATTGGCCGTTTCGGTGCAATCACAGGACGTCTTGGCTTCACCGACGTCGTCGTTTCGCCGACGTCCAAGATGACGACGACCGCGGCGACAACGCCGTCGACGCCGACGTGCTACTTCCTCTCCCCCACGATGATGCCGTCGCGATGTCGACGTCCAAGGCTTCGACGATGACGACCGCGGCGGTGACGACGTTGACGACGTCGACGCGCCCTCCCCCTCCTCCCGCGCTAATGACGATGGTGCTGCATATTCCGCATTCAGCTGAGATAGCTACGCGTGCGTGGCAGCCGAGGAGCCCGCCATAGCGGCCAGGTATGCGGCCCAGTCTGTTGGGTCCAGCGGACTGACGCTTTACCGCGAACTCAGATTCGACTTCGCCATCCCTGGGGGGGGATCACCCCTTTCGACGACTGTTGGCGTTGACCAGCGGAGTGGCGCCTGACGTTCGCCGGCTAGACCTCGCCATCCCCGGGGGCTGCAAACAGCGATAACGTCGCCAGGTTCGAAAGGTAGCTCGGGGGGTCCAGCGGGGTGACGCCATACGCAGATTCAGATCAGAGCTCGCCACACGTGCGGGGCTGCGAAATGCGAACTTGTCGACGTTTCTGAAGATTGGTGGGGGATCCAGCGGGGTGACGTACTACGCAGATTCAAACTGGACCTCGCCATCCATGGTGGCCTGCGAATTGCGAGAACGACATCAATTTGGAGGGGTGCTGTGGGGCCCGCCCGGTGGAGTTGTGCTTGACGCAGGCTCAGACACGACCCCGCCATCCTTGGGGGGGGTGCGAGTGTTGCTGAGGGGCCTAGGCGCGGTGACGCCTTGCAGTGGATGTCCATGCCAAGAAACACTACTTGCCTCCAGGGTTGTTGGGTTTCGATGGCTTTGCTCTGGAAAGCGTGACGCTCCCACACCAAAAATCAATGGACGTCCAGGAGTCTCAGGGTGGGGTTTCTTGTGGAAGGTTTCTTGTGGTCGAGTTCCTACAGTACACAGATCCATTCTAGACCTCGCCATCCCTGGGA